TATTAAAATCAGACTGGTAGTTCTTTTTTAAAAGTAGATTAAAGATTATAAACTTTAGATATAAATATTGCAAGAACACCAGTCCAAACTTAATATTTTACCACCATTAGAACCGGAAAGACCTAATGAACAACTTTAATTAATACCAAAAAGGAGGTTTACTTAATAATAATATCTTTTCCGGAGCCCTTTTATGCATTTTGGGGGTGGCATTAGCAAAAATGGAAGTGGAAATAGCAATTCTCAAAATATATTAACAATAAATAAACTTGTAATTTTGAAGTTTGGTTTGTCTTCAATAATATTTATATTTAAAAACTAAAAAAATCTACTTGCTATTTAAGTTTTAAGATTTTATATAATATGTAATGAAAAATCAACTTTGTATAGTTTAATATAAACTTAATTTTTAAATTTAATATAATTATATAATATTATATTTTATATAATTTTTAATTAATAACTTTTATATTTTATAGTCACATTATAGAAAACTTTTAATAAAGCATCGGTTAGATGAATTTAATAAAGTATATAAAATTGGTGGAGATATAGAAGAAGTAACAATAGCACATGCAATTAAATGGTCTGCAAAAGCATAACAAGAAGTAACATCTAATACAATTTTAAATTGTTGAAAGAAAACTGAAATTTTACCAATTTCATACTTTGATGATTCAGAATCAATAATCTCTGATAGTACAATAACTGGTGAATTGGTTTTATTAGAAGAAAATAATAATGATGAAACTGAAATACAAAATTTAATTAATCAGTTACCATATGAAGATGAAGAAAAGATTAATGCATATGAATATCTTTCAATAAAAAATATGTCTCATTCTATTGATATTTCAAATGAAGAAATTGTAACTGATATTATTAAAAATAATTTAGATAAAGAGAGTGAACCTGAAATAGAATTAATATCTAGTTCAACAAAGGCAATATACAATATTCAAAATATTGTAAAATTTGTTAAATATAAACAAACTGAACTTGAATTAGATAACAAACAATTAGAAACATTATATGAAATTCAGAAAAAAATTTTAATTTATAATTCAAAACAAAAAATTAATAATTTAAAAGATTAAAAAATTTATGATAAAAAATATTAAAAAAATAAAAAAAATAAAAATAAAAAAATAAATAAATAAAAATAAATAAAAATAAATAAAAATAAAAAAAATAAAAAATATAAAAATAAAAAAATAAAAAAATAAAAAAAATAAAAAAATTTAAAAAAAAATAAAAAATTAAAAAAATTAAAAAAATTAAAAATTATTATAATATTTAAAACTATATGTTTTTAAGTTTTTATAATTTAAATTATGCAATTTAATATTTTAAAATATATATATTTAAGTTTTTTTGTTATTTTTTTATTTTTTTAAAATTTTTTTGTTTAATTTTTTTTATATTTTTTATATTCTTTTTTTATTTTTTTAATATTTAAAACTATATGCTTTTAAGTTTTTATAATTTAAATTATGCAATTTAATATTTTAAAATATTTATACTTAAGTTTTTTTTAGTTTTTTTTGTTTTTTGTTTGTTTTTTTGTTTTTTTATGATTTTTTTTATTTTTTTATTTTTTAATATTTAAAACTATATATTTTTAAGTTTTTGTAATTTAAATTATGCAATTTAATATTTTAAAATATATATTTAAGTTTTTTTGTTTTTTTTTATTTTTTTAATTTTTTTAAGTTTTTTTTGTTTTTTAAGTTTTTTTTTATTTTTTAATATTTAAGACTATATGTTTTTAAGTTTTAATAATTTAAATTATGCAATTTAATATTTTAAAATATATATGTTTAAGTTTTATTTTTTTTTGTTTTTTTTAAGTTTTTTTTTTTTTTTTTAAATTTTTTTTAAGTTTTTTTTGTTTTTTTTTAAAGTTTTTTTATGTTTAAGTTTTTTATATTTAAGTTTTTAGTTTAAATTATAGTAATTATATGCATTTTAAATTATTACTTTTAAGTTTAAATATTTTAATATTTAAGATTATAAAGTTTTTAAGCCTTTTACTTAATTACGTATGCATTTTAATATTTAAGATTATATACTTTTAAAATATTTTTAAAATAATATTATATTTGAATATTTTATAATTAAAAAATATAGATAAGATAAGATATGTAAATTTGGCAAAATTTGGCATAATAAAAATTTGCAAATAAATATAATAATAATAATAGTTTTTTTTTTTTTTTTTTTTTTTTTTTTTAAACCCTTTCGATGAAGGAACACCAATTGGCGTACTTAATATAATAATTTAGAAATAATATATTAAATAATTTATTAATTTCTTTTCATACTTCTAATTGGCTGCATTATTTATTCAATTATCGGAGTATTTATTTAAGTAAAAATTCGTACTGTTAAGTTAGAATTAGTATTTTGCTATTAAGAAAACATTATTTATTTCAAAATTTTACAAAGAAAATTTTTTATTAGTGCACAGAAGATAGTTTAATAGATTGAATTTAAAGTTATAAGTGATTTTTATATTTTAACATTTTTTCTTATTTATATTATATATGCCTGATCATAAAATTTAATTGGCTCCGATAAGTGAATATGTAATTAGTAGAATTAAAATCATGAACATAAGTACTTATTTATAGATACTTAACTCTAAATATGTACTAATTTATTACCTTTAAAATAGAGCGTGAGTATAAAGATAACTTATTACATAACATTAATCAGTGAAACATGAATATAATTAATTATTCATAAATACTTAACTTTAAATGCTTATTTACTATTAATTACATACATAATATACTTCAAATGGGGAATGAGTATACTTATTTGTTGGTTATCTAATAAGGCATGAGTATAAAGATAATTTATTAACGTTAATCGATTAAATTCAAATCATAAAATTAAAATCATAATTATTTTAATATCTATATACTTATTAATTACTTAACAGTTAATACTTTTCAAATAAAACCCTAGAAGTAAGTTAATTTGTTACTTATCTAATAGAGTATTAATCTAATTGATTATTATTAAGCATACAAAATTTGAAATAAATCTTAGTAAGGTTGCAATATATGAAATAGCTAAAAATTCAAAAATAAATAAATACTTAATGTGTTTTAGTAAAGGCCTGAATCGGTTGTAAATTGGAAAACTGAACTGTATTGTTATATTTTTTTTAAAAAAAAAAACTTTGTTTTTATTGGTTGATCAGTAATAAATCATACGTAACTTATGTAAAATAAACCTGACATTTCGATAAACTGATTTCAAAAATTAAATTTAGAATATTTAAACCGCTTAACTCAAATTTGAAGTTGAATAAACCTGTTCCAACTTTTATTTTTAGTATGCTGTTAATAAAACTATTTTAAAAATATTAGAAATAATTTTAGAGAACTTACTGACTGGATAAATTACAATTAAAATATTTTATGAGAGTTATACAACAGTATTCACAGTTATGCAAATATATGACAATATGCAATCTTACAAATTTAAAATATCAGTAAATATTGGATTAAGAAATATTTGTTCCTGTGCAAAGTACAGGTTATCGGCTAGTTAAATTATAATCTGCGATTTATGCAAAATTTCCTTTGGTATATTAACATGTACTTTTTATTTGTAGGTTGAATTGTATATACGTACGTATATAATATAATATACCTTTTGATATACCAAACTCTCGATATACCAAGCTCTCAATATACCGACCTCTCATATCAAACTTTCGATTAGGGATGGATTCAGTCATGAACAGTCACAATTATTCATAGCCAATTTGCTAAATACTGAGATGATTTTTTACTTTTGAGCTTTTAATTTCTGATCATCCCATATTATAAGTGGAAAGAATGATGCCTTCTCTGGAACTCAGAATTTCAAAATTTGTAATGTCATAACCAGTTATTGACCAACGATTAATAACCAGTCATGGCATTAATATATTTTGAAATTCCAAGTTCCAGAGAAGGTATCGTCCTTTCTACTTATAATATGGGATGATCAAAAATTAAAAGCTCAAAAGTAAAAAATTATCCCAGTTAGTGTTGTTAGGCAAAACTTAGAGGTTTCGCAAAAGGCAAAAGTCGAAACTAGTTTCGACTTTTACCAAAAAAAATTGAAAATGGCAAAATGGCGAAACTGTCGAAACTGGCAAAACTGTCGAAACTGTCGAAACTACTAAAAGATGAAAAATAATAAAATTAGTAAAGATAAGAAAATTAATAAAATAAGTACTAA